AAAAAAAAAAACAGAGAGTAAGGGACTAAAACCAGTGTGTAGGACAGAAGGAAATCAGCACTCAGCCTTCTTTTTTTTTTTTTTGGGTCCGGTCATGGGGCCTGAACTCTGGGCCTGGGCACTGTTCCTCAGCTCTTCAGCTCAAGGCTAGCGCTCTACCACTTGAGCCACAGCGCCACTTCCAGCTTTTTTTCTTTTTGCTTATGTGGTGCTGAGGAATGAACCCAGGGCCTTGGGCATGCAAGGCAAGCTCTCTTCCCAGCCCAAGCACTCAGCCTTCTTGAGGCAAAGTGTTATAGATTATTGGTCTGTTCTCGGGGTCTGAACAGTGCCTGTCTGACAGTTGTTGCTCAGTGAATACTGTGTTGAATGAATTAAGTGTTTTCCTAGCAAGATAATAATCAGATCTTTTTTTTTTTTTTTTGGTCCGGTCATGGGGCCTGAACTCTGGGCCTGGGCACTGTCCCTCAGCTCTTCAGCTCAAGGCTAGCGCTCTACCACTTGAGCCACAGCTTCCAGCTTTTTTCTTTTTGCTTATGTGGTGCTGAGGAATAGAACCCAGGGCCTCAGGCATACAAGGCAAGCGCTCTACCGCTGAGCCACCTTCCCAGCCCCAATAATCAGATCTTTATAATTTTCAAGCATATCTTGTCTCAGATTCTCTCCCCCCTTTCTTTCCCTCTCTCTCTCCTTTTTCTCCTTCTCACCCCTCCCCACCCCTTTATGTCCCTCTCTCCTTCAGAGCTCAATGAGAAAGGAGGTTCTGTGTCTTAAGGGCTCACATTTTGATAACCAGGACAGCTGGAATTGGGGTTATCCGACTTAAATTCTACTTCCTTTTTTGTTACTTCTTGGCATTGTGATCATTTTAAAATTCTACTTATATCCTTGCAGATATGAATGCCCTTAAAGTAGAAGTTTCTTAAAATGTCAGCTCTAGCTTGCACATATTGTTATTACAATGCTCATAATTCATGTGTCTGGATTCACTGTTTCAAAGGATCCACCTAATCATGGTTTTAAGCAGAACCCAAACACCGGCAGTTCTGTAATTTTCCACTTGCCTTTTCTGTTTTCTCAACAAAGTAAAATGACCTCTGAATACAGGACACATTTCTATATGCCTGCATAGCCTAAAACTATTAGAATAATTTGAGAGCATGTCTTATCTCTCAGCTCAAACAATCTCTTCTCCTAAGCCTTTCATAGTTAATAGGAATAAGAACACTGCTTTTGATTTAGTGGTAGTCTAGACTAATCAAGAAACTTGAAATTATGTTCTGAATCACCCACACTTTTTCAAAAGTTAAAAACACTAAAGAAGTGTTTAATAAGGCAGGCTGTGACACTCCATATAACAACCTTGTTTGTCATTTGGGATTTCTCCTTATTATTGTTGCATAGTTTTGTGGCCTTTTATTTGGTTGTTTTATTGCCAGAATCCACACTAATGAGTTGCAGTCTCTTATTAGTGTTTCTACCAGAGGTTTGGAAGTAGATCATTGGGGTGTGAATGAAGAATAGCAGTTTACAATGTTTGAAGGGGCTGGGAAGGTGGCTCAGTGGAAGAGCGCTTGCCTTGCATGCCTGAGTCCCTGGGTTCGATTCCTCAGCACCACATAAGCAAAAAGAAAAAAGCCGGGAGTGGTGCTGTGGCTCAAGTGGTAGAGTGCTAGCCTTGAGCTGAAGAGCTGAGGGACAGCGCCCAGGCCCAGAGTTCAGGCCCCACGACCGGACCCCCCCAAAAAAAATAAAAAAAAAACCTACAATGTTTGAAGTATCTTGGCCATAATTGCTATTGGTATACATGTAAATACTTCTACAGTCCCTTTGATTGGTGCAAGGTGTTGCTTTGCACATCTTGCCTGCATGACTGATCTATTCTGTTCTTACACTCTTAATCCATTGGAATTTTGTGTTTGTGTGAACAGGAGATTCAGAGTCATATTCCTTTAAACAGAATTTCAAAGGGAAACGACACTCTTCTTCCAGCCTCCTGTGTGAGCAATATGCTCTATTATGTTTCTTCCTCTGGCTAACTTGCAAGATTCAGAATTATTTGGAAAGCAGTAACACAAAACATTTACAAAAAGAAAGGCTAAAAATATCCAATAATGCAGTTATTCTTTTTAGACTTCCTTTGGCAGTCAGTGCCTGTCATACTATGAGCATTCTTTTTCTGTTTCCTGGTAGGGTCTGATCACCAGCTCTGAGTTCCTTGCTTTTCCCCACCTCCCCTGCATAAGTAACCACGTTTAGATATAAAGGCAAGCCCCTGTGGAGGCTTTTGACTCCTCATTTATTGGCCTCAT